ACCTTTGAGATTAACACATTTATTTAAGCATAAGCTTTCATGGGCTAAAACCCACTTCATCGGATGCATGCAGTGGAAAATACAGTAGGAAGATATATATACACAGAGAACATGAAAAAATGGGTGTTGCCGTACCAACTATAACGAGACTCATCAATTAAGGTGGGCTATTGTCTGCAGGAGGAAAAAAACTTTTGTAGTGATAATCAGGATAGCCCATTTCCAACAATTGACAAGAAGGTGTGAATAACAGTAGGGGGAATAGTTCTACTTTGTGTAATGGCCCATCCACTCCCAGTTTTTATTCAAGCCTAACTTAATGGTGTCTAGTTTGCAAATTAATTCCAATTCAGCAGTTTCTCATTGGAGTCTGTTTTTGAAGGTTTTTTGTTGTAGTATTGCCACTTTTAGGTCTGTAATTGAGTGACCAGGGAGATTGAAGTGTTCTCTGACAGGTTTTTGAATGTTATAATTCTTAACGTCTGATTTGTGTCCATTTATTCTGTTGCGCAGAGATTGTCCAGTTTGGCCAATGTACATGGCAGAGGGGCATTGCTGGCACATGATGGCATATATCACATTGGTAGATGTGCAGGTGAACGAGCCTCTGATGGTGTGGCTGATGTGGTTAAGTCCTATGATTGTATCCCCTGAATAGATACGTGAACAGAGTTGCAACAGGCTTTGTTACAAGGATTGGTTCCTGGGTTAATGTTTTTGTTGTGTGGTGTGTGGTTGCTGGTGAATATTTGCTTCAGGTTGGGGGGCTGTCTGTAAGCGAGGACTGGCCTGTCTCCCAAGATCTGTGAGAGTGAGGGATCGTCCTTCAGGATAGGTTGTAGATCCTTGATGATGCGCTGGAGAGGTTTTAGTTGGGGGCTGAAGGTGATGGCTAGTGGCGTTCTGTTACTTTCTTTGTTGGGCCTGTCCTGGAGTAGGTGACTTCTGGGTACTCTTCTGGCTCTGTCAATCAACTGCATTTGCTCCAACCCCTCAGACAGAGACAAACACCTACAAGATCTCTATCAAGCATTCTTACAACTACAATACCCACCTGCTGAAGTGAAGAAACAGATTCCCCACCCTCCCATCCCCCTTGCCTGTCCCTCTTCAGGGACCCCTCTCACGAGCAACTTCTCATCCAGAAGGTCCAGGCTCTCCTCGCTCTAGGAGTGGTGGATAAGGTCCCTCAGGAACTCACAGGCAAGGGTTTCTACTCCTGATACTTCCTCATCCCCAAAGCGACTGGGGGCCTCAGGCCCATTCTGGACCTGTGGGAACTCAACAAGTTCACAGTCAGCTTGAAGTTCCGCATGGTCTCCCTAAGCACAAACATCCCTTCCCTAGACCCGGGAGACTGGTACACCTGCCCTGGATGCTTATTTTCACATATCTATCATCCTGGCTCACATACGGTTCCTCCGCTTCATAGTGAACAAGGTGCATTACCAGTTCATGGCCCTCCCATTTGGGCTTTGCACAGCACCTCGCGTCTACACCAATTGCATGGTGGTTGTAGCAGCTTTTCTCCGCCGCCACGTACATGTCTACCCTTACCTAGATGATTGGCTCCTGGGGGGCTGCTCCTGTCAGCAGGTGGAATCGCAGGTGAATATAGTCAAAGACACATCTGACCAATTAGGTCTCATACTCAACATCAGCAAATCAGTGCTCACCCCAACTCAAAGGATAGAGTTCATTGGAGCTGTTCTGGACGCGACTCAAGCGAGAGCGTTCCTGCCAGAGACGCGTCACCTGGCCCTCTCGCAAATAATCAGCAACCTTTGCAGCTTCCCTACCACCACGGCGAGGCAGTGTCTCAGGCTACTAGGCCATATGGCATCCTGCACATACGTGGTTCAACACGCCAGGCTGCGACTCAGACCCTTGCAAGCGTGGCTCACATCTATGTATCACCCGGGCCGCAAGAGTCTGGACATAGTGCTGGCCCTCCCTCGGCATACCCTCGACTCCCTACGGTGGTGGCCGAATCCCCGCGCGGTAGGCGCCGGGGTTCCTTTTCACCCGCCCCAACCCACCCTAACCTTAGTCACCGATGCGTCCGCGTTGGGCTGGGGAGCGCATCTGGGAAGCCTGACAACTCAGGGTCTATGACAAGTAGAGGAACTGGTTCTGCATATCAGCGTCAAAGAACTCAGGGCGATCCGCCTCGCCTGCCAAGCTTTTCTGACTCACTTGCAGGGCCATTGCGTAGCGGTGATCACGGACAACATCACGGCTATGTTTTATATAAACAAGCAGGGCGGAGCCCGCTTGTCTCCTCTCTGTCAGGAAGCCCTCCTACTGTGGGAATTTTGCCTAGCCCACTCCATTCTCCTCCAGGCTTTGTACCTGCCGGGCATTCAGAAAGTGCTGGCGGACAGTCTGAGCAGAGGTTTCCTCACACACGAGTGGTTGATTCGCCCGGAC